TAAAGCCTTTGACTGTGTGGATCATAATAAATTGTGGCAAGTTCTTAGTGGGATGGGCATCCCAAGCCACCTTGTCTCGCTCCTGAGGAATCTGTACAAGGACCAAGTAGCAACAGTAACAACTGACCATGGAACAACAGAGTGGTTCAAGATTGGGAAAGGCGTACGGCAAGGCTGCATCCTCTCACCCAACCTTTTTAACTTGTATGCAGAACACATCATGCGATGTGCGGGGCTGGATGAATGCAAAGCTGGGCTGAAAATTGCTGGAAGAAACATTAACAACCTCAGATATGCAGATGACACCACTCTGATGGCCGAAAGCGAGGAGGAGCTGAGGAGCCTTCTAATCAAGGTGAAAGAAGAAAGCGCAAAAGCTGGGTTGCAGCTAAACGTCAAAAAAACCAAAATTATGGCAACAAGAATGATTGACAACTGGAAAATAGAGGGAGAAACCGTGGAGGCCGTGACAGACTTTGTATTTCTAGGGGCAAAGATTACTGCAGATGCAGACTGTAGCCAGGAAATCAGAAGACGCTTACTTCTTGGGAGGAGAGCAATGTCCAATCTCGATAAAATAGTGAAGAGTAGAGACATCAGACTGACAACAAAGATCCGCCTAGTCAAAGCCATGGTATTCCCTGTAGTAACCTACGGATGTGAGAGCTGGACCTTAGGGAAGGCTGAGCGAAGAAAGATCGATGCTTTTGAACTGTGGTGTTGGAGGAAAGTGCTGAGAGTGCCTTGGACTGCGAGAAGATCCAACCAGTCCATCCTCCAGGAAATAAAGCCCGACTGCTCACTGGAGGGAAAGATACTAGAGACAAAGTTGAAGTACTTTGGCCACATCATGAGGAGACAGGAAAGCCTAGAGAAGACAATTATGCTGGGGAAAGTGGAAGGCAAAAGGAAGAGGGGCCGACCAAAGGCAAGATGGATGGATGGCATCCTTGAAGTGACTGGACTGACCTTGAGGGAGCTGGGGGTGGTAACGGCCGACAGGGAGCTCTGGCGTGGGCTGGTCCATGAGGTCACGAAGAGTCGGAGACGACTGAACGAATGAACAACAACAACAATTTGTATTTTATTTTATTGTAATTTGTTGTTTGGGCTTGGCCTCGTGAGCCTCCCCAAGTCACCGTTGGGGGAGATGGTGGCAGGGTATAAATAATGTTTATTAATAATTTATTATTATTATTATTACTACTACTACTACTACTACTAAAGGTAAAGGTTGTCCCCTGACATTACGTCCAGTCATGTCTGACTCTGGAGTGTGGTGCTCATCTCCATCTATTTATTATTATTATTATTATTATTACTACTACTACTACTACTACTACAACTAAAGGTAAATGTTGTCCCCTGACATTAAGTCCAGTCATGTCTGACTTTGGGGCGTGGTGCTCATCTCCATCTATTTATTATTATTATTATTATTATTATTATTATTATTATTATTAATTGTTATTGTTATTATTATTATTATTATTAATATTAATATTACTACTACTACTAAAGGTAAAGGTTGTCCCCTGAGATTAAGTGCAGTCATGTCTGACTTTGGGGCGTGGTGCTCATCTCCATCTATTTATTATTATTATTATTATTATTATTATTATTTATTATTATTATTACTACTACTAGTAGCAGTAGTAGTACTATTAAAGGTAAATGTTGTCCCCTGACATTAAGTCCAGTCATGTCTGACTCTGGGGTGTGGTGCTCATCTCCTTTTATTATTTATTATTATTACTACTACTAGTACTACTAAAGGTAAAGGTTGTCCCCTGACATTAAGTCCTGTCATGTCTGACTCTTGGGTGTGGTGCACATCTCCATCTATTTATTATTATTACTAGTAGTAGTAGTAGTACTACTACTACTAAAGGTAAAGGTTGTCCTCTGACATTAAGTCCAGTCATGTCTGACTCTGGGGTGTGGTGCTCATCTCCATCTATTATTTTTATTACTACTACTACTACTACTACTACTAAAGGTAAAGGTTGTCCCCTGACATTAAGTCATGTCTGACTCTGGGGCGTGTCTGACTCTGGGGCGTGGTGCTCATCTCCATCTATTTATTATTATTATTATTATTATTATTATTATTATTATTATTATTTTTATTTATTGTTATTATTATTATTAATAATAATATTAATATTACTACTACTACTAAAGGTAAAGGTTGTCCCCTGACATTAAGTGCAGTCATGTCTGACTTTGGGGCGTGGTGCTCATCACCATCTATTTATTATTATTATTACTACTAGTAGTACTAATAGTAGTACTATTAAAGGTAAATGTTGTCCCCTGACATTAAGTCCAGTCATGTCTGACTCTGGGGTGTGCTGCTCATCTCCATCTATTATTTATTATTATTACTACTACTACTACTACTAAAGGGAAAGGTTGTCCTCTGACATTAAGTCCAGTCATGTCTGACTCTGGGGTGTGCTGCTCATCTCCATCTATTATTTTTTATTACTACTACTACTACTACTACTACTAAAGGTAAATGTTGTCCCCTGACATTACGTCCAGTCATGTCTGACTTTGGGGTGTGGTGCTCATCTCCATCTATTTATTATTATTATTAATAATAATAATATTAATATTAATATTACTACTACTACAACTACTAAAGGTAAAGGTTGTCCCCTGACATTAAGTGCAGTCATGTCTGACTTTGGGGCGTGGTGCTCATCTCTGTCTATTTATTATTATTATTATTATTATTATTATTATTATTATTTGTTATTATTATTATTATTACTACCACTAGTAGTAGTAGTAGTAGTACTATTAAAGGTAAATGTTGTCCCCTGACATTAATTTCAGTCATGTCTGACTCTGGGGTGTGGTGGTCATCTCTATCTATTATTTTTTATTACTACTACTACTACTACTAAAGGTAAAGGTTTTCCCCTGACATTAAGTCCAGTCATGTCCAACTCTGGGGGTTGGTGCTCATCTCCATTTCTAAACCAAAGAGCCGGCATTGTCCGTAGAGACCTCCAAGGTCATGTGGCCGGCATGAGTGCATGGAGTTCCCTTACTACTACTATTTTATTTTTTTTGTCGTGTCAGGAGTGACTTGAGAAACTGCAAGTCGCTTCTGGTGTGAGAGAATTGTCCGTCTGCAAGGACGTTGCCCAGGGGACGCCCAGATGATTTGATGTTTTTATCATCCTTTGTGGGAGGCTTCTCTCATGTCCCCGCATGAAGAGCTGGAGCTGATAGAGGGAGCTCATCCACCTCTCCCCTGTCGGTCTTCAGTCCTATGTGCACCACCGGGGGCTCCACTACTACTACTACTACTACTACTACTACTACTCAGGGCGGCTCAACACATTACGCAAAGTAAGCATTCGCAGTATAGTTGATTTTGCCTAGGGGCGCTCTTGAGGCGCTCTTGGGGGAAAATAGACCTTGACATATGCGAGTTGTAGTTACTGGGATGTATAGTTCACCTAAAATCAAAGAGCATTCTGAACTCCACCAATGATGGAATTGAACCAAATATGGCACACAGAACTCCCATGATGAACAGAAAATATATATCAATGATTCGTCAGGATTAATTTAGTTATGTATGTGTTTTAAATGTGCTTCTATGTATTGCCAAGATGGATTCCACTGTGTATTAGAAATGCTGTGCAGAATGTTCATACCGTGAGGCTGTGATTATGTGACCTTGAGAGGAGTAAAATAAAGTTTGCTCTTGTTGGGAACAGAAGGGAGTAGCTAGTCTCAGCAAGAGAGAGATAAGCAGATGTGAAGAGGGTTTCGTTTTGACTAGTTCCTGAATTGTAGCTCGCTGTAGTAAGACGTGTCTATTGATTGTGCTTAGTAAACTTAGTTTCTTTTGTAACTCAAAGCCTGCAGGGTCCTTACTTTGCAACACAGTGTCTGCTGATCTAGCAATCCTTCTGCTGTGCACCTCCAAACTCTGACATGATTGGTGGGGGGGGGGGGGGGGGGGGGGGGACACTGTTTGCTTACCATTGAAAATTACCTAGGGCCACCTCTGCTACTACTACTGTTGTTGTTCATTCGTTCAGTCGTCTCCGACTCTTCGTGACCTCATGGACCAGCCCACGCCAGAGCTCCCTGTCAGCCGTCACCACCCCCAGCGCCTTCAAGGTCAGTCCAGTCACTTCAAGGATGCCATCCATCCATCTTGCCCTTGGTCGGCCCCTCTTCCTTTTGCCTTCCACTTTCCCCAGCATAATTGTCTTCTCTAGGCTTTGCTGTCTCCTCATGATGTGGCCAAAGGACTTCAACTTTGTCTCTAGTATCCTTCCCGCCAGTGATCAGTCGGGCTTTGTTTCCTGGAGGATGGACTGGTTGGATCTTCTCGCAGTCCAAGGCACTCTCAGCACTTTCCTCCAACACCACAGCTCAAAAGCATCGATCTTCCTTCGCTCAGCCTTCCCTAAGGTCCAGCTCTCACATCCGTAGGTGACTACAGGGAATACCATGGCTTTGACTACTACTACTACTACTACTACTGTGAGCCCCCGGTGGCCCAGTGGGTTAAAGCACTGAGCTGCTGAGCTTGTTGATCGAAAGGTCGCAGGTTCGATTCCGGGGAGCGGCGTGAGCTTCCGCTGTCAGCCCTAGCTTCTGCCAACCTAGCAGTTCGAAAACATGCAAATATGAGTAGATCAATAGGTACCGCTCTGGCGGTAAGGTAACGGCGCTCCATGCGGTCACGCTGGCCACATGACCTTGGAGGTGTCTATGGACAAAGCTGGCTCTTCGGCTTAGAAATGGAGATGAGCACCACCCCCCAGAGTCAGACATGACTGGACTTAATGTCAGGGGACTACCTTTACCTTTACTACTACTACTACTACTACTATTATTTCACAGCCATTCATTCCAGTGTAGCAACTTGGCCCCCTGGCTGCAATACCAGAGGTGTCCATTGGGCGGCGGTGTGGCTCCTCTGGGTGGCGCTGCCTGCCTTCCCCTCCTTCCTTCCCTCCCTCCCTCCTTCGTGTCCTTGCTGGGTGCGTGTGAGTGCGTGTGTCTGTGTGTTTTGCGTGTCTGCCAAGGGGAGAAGGGGAAGGGGGGGCTGGAAACCGGAGAGCGGGCTTCCGAGGTTTCCAGGCAGAGCTCCCGGCTCCCTTCCTGGTCCTCCCTCCTCCTCTCCTTCCCTCTTTCTTCCTCTCTCTCTCCCTCCGCATTGCCTTTCCACGCGCGATGGGTGTCTGCTGGGCAAAGCAGAGCCAAGCCCCGGGCTAAAGGAAGGGAAGGCAACGCTCTCGTCCTTGAACCTGTCAAGCCGGGCTCCATTCCTCCTCTCCCACCTTCCCCCCTTCCTTCCCTCCTTTCTTTCCCCCCCTCCCTTGGATGTGGAGCAGAGCCTCAGTGCGGATCTCCCGGGACAGATGCGCGTCTGATGGAGGAATCCGGACGGAGGGTCATCCCTTTCCTCGTCGAGGTAAGAGGCCCGAGGCACCCAATCCTCTTCGCCCTTTTGTGATGACATTTTCCCCATTAGAGTAGACCCATTCAGTGCAATGCATTTACCGCCGTGTCGAGCCAACAAAGGCTTGCATTGAGAAAGGCTGGATTGGTTTTGCTTTCCCATTAGAGTAGACCCATTGGTTGCAATGGGGTTACTCCCGTGTCGAGACAACAATAGCTAACGGGAGGCGTGTTTGTCAACAGGATTGTTTTCTTTTCGCCCTGAATCGTGGCATTTTTTGCGTGATGCTCGAAGACGCGTGTTTAAGTCTCCAAAGGGATATATGTGGCTTACCAGGTTGGAGCCCATGGAGGAAAGGTTGCGTGTCGATGCGTTCAGACGTGACTTCCCCTTCCAGGACCCCTTTGACGTCAGGGAGTCAGTTTAGAGTTGCGTGTCAGGCGTTCAGACGTTACCTCTCCCTTTCCCAGCTTTAGAGTAAAAAACTCGCATTGGAGTTGTCTGTAGACACATTCAGACGTGACTTACACTTCCCCATTGACGTCAGGGAGTTACTTTGGAGTTGCGTGTCAGGCATTCAGACGTTACCTTCCCCTTTCCCAGCCCCTTGAAGATCAAAAACTCGCTTTGGAGTTGCGTGTCAACACATTCTGACGTGACTTCCACTTCCAGGACCCCATTGATGTCAGGGGGTCACTTTGGAGTTGCGTGTCTGGCGTTCAGATGTTACCTTCCCCTTTCCCAGCCCCTTGAAGGTCAAAAACTTGCTTTGGAGTTGCCTGTTGACACATTCAGACGTTACTTCCCCTTTGAGGACCTCTTTGACGACAGGGGGTCAGTTTAGAGTTGTGTGTCAGGCGTTCAGACGTTACCTTCCCCTTTCCCAGCTCCTTGAAGATCAAAAACTTGCTTTGGGGTTGCATGTCCACATGTTCAGACGTTACTTCCCCTTCGAAGACCCCTTTAAGGTCAGGGAATCACTTTGGAGTTGCGTGTCAGGCATTCAGACGTTACCTTCCCCTTTCCCGGCCCCTTGAAGGTCAAAAACTCGCTTTGGAGTTGCATGTAGACACATTTAGGGCCTCTTTGGAGTTGCGTGTCAGGCATTCAGACGTTATGTCCCCCTTTCCCAGCACCTTGAAGGTCAAAAACCTGCTTTGGAGTTGCGTGTTGACGCGTTCAGATGTTACTTCCCCTTTCCCAGCCCTTCTGAAGTTGGATATTTTCCAAAAATGTGGGGGAAAAGGAAAGGGCCTGAGGCTGTTAGGAATGGTGGGAGTTGGAATCCAAAACACCTGGAGGGCCAAAATTTGCCCAGGCCAGATCTAACATCTTACAATGTTGGATTGTTATTATGATGGCCATCTTTTACAAAAATAAGTATACACCTTAACATGTAATATTTCTGGATTATTATTATTATTATTATTGCATTCAAATACATCTATATAAATAAAAATGTAATGTTTGTTTGTGGGATTAACATAACTCAAAAACCACTGGGCAAATTGACACCAAATTTGGACACAAGACACCTCTCAGGCCAGGGAGTGACCATCACTCATAAACGCACTGAAAAACACAGCAGAAGAGACTTAAAAAGCCAAAAAACAGAAACAAATGCATTACACTGCATGTGCAAAAGCACATATACACAAATACACACATATATACAAATATATACACACATATACGCATATATACGCACTCAAAACACATATACACAGACTGGGTCACAGCAACATGTGGCAGGGGACGAATAGTATGTATGTGTATATAGGTATATAGATATAGATACACACACACATATACATACATACACACAGAGACCTGTAACAATATCAAAGGTTACAATAATATAGAGAAATGTGATGTAAGGTTTGGACAAAAGCAGCTGTTTCTTTCCCTATAATTGTCATTTTTGATAGAATTTATGATCTCTGCTCTAACCTTTATTCTACAGTTTCAATGGATTTACGTCTAATTGTTATTTCAGTAACCGTTGGTTGTTAAAGGTGGTTGTTGTTGTTGTTTGCCTTCAAGCCATTCTTTGGTTTGCTTCTGAGGCTGAGAGTGTGTGACCCGTCCAGTGGCTTTCAATGGTTGAGTGGGGATTCTAACTCTGTTGTTGTTGTTTTCCTTCAAGCCATTCTTTGGTTGGCCTCTGAGGCTGAGACTGTGTGACCCATCCAATGGCTTTCTGTGCTTGTGCGGGGATTCTAACTCTGTTGTTGTTGTTGTTTGCTTTCAAACCATTCTTTGGTTTGCTTCTGAAGCTGAGAGAGTGTGACCCGTCCAATGGCTTTCTATGGTTGAGCAGGGATTCTAACTCTGTTGTTGTTGTTGTTGCTTGCCTTCAAGCCATTCTTTGGTTGGCCTCTGAGGCTGAGAGAGTGTGACTCATCCAATGGCTTTCTATGGTTGAGCGGGGATTCTAACTCTGTTGTTGTTGGTTGCCTTCAAGTCATTCTTTGGTTGGCTTCTGAGGCTGAGAGAGTGTGACTCATCCAATGGCTTTCAGTGGTTGAGCGGGGAATCTAACTCTGTTGTTGTTGGTTGGGAAGGGAGGGAAGAAGGGAAGGAAGGAAGATAGAAGAGAGGGATTGAGGGAGACAGAAGGAAGGAAGGGAAGGAGGGAGGGAGAGCGGGAGGGGGAGACAGAAGGAAGAAAGAAAGGGAGGGAAGGAAGGAGGAAGGGAAGTAGGAAGTAAGGAAGGGAAGAAGACAGGATAGTGAGGGAGGGAGTCGGAAGGAAAGGAGGGATGAGGAGAGAGAGGGAGGGGGCAGAAGGAAGAAAGGAAGAGAGGGAAGGAAGGGGGAAGGGAAAAAGGAAGGAAAAGAAGAAGACAGGAGAGGGAGGGAGTTGGAAGGAAGGAAGAAAAGGAGGGAGGAAAGGAGAGAGGGAGGGGGGACAGAAGGAAGGAAGGAAGGAAGAGAGGGAAGGAAGGAAGGGGGAAGAGAAGAAGGAAGGAAGGAAGACAGAGGAGAGCAAGGGAGGGGGTGGAGGGAAGGAAGGAAGAAAGAAAGAAGGGGAGACAGAAGGAAGAAAGGAAGGGAGGGAGGGAAGGAAGGAAGGGGGAAGGGAAGAAGGGAGGGAGGAAGACAGAGGAGAGCAAGGGAGGGAGATCGAAGAAAGGAAGGAAGGAGGGAAGGAAGGAGGAAGGGAGAGAGGGAAGGGGAGACAGAAGGAAGAAAGGAAGAGAGGTAAGGAAGAAAGGCAGAAGGGAAGAAGGAAGGGAGGAAGACAGAGGAGAGCGAGGGAGGGAGATCGAAAAAAGGAAGGAAGGAGGAAGGGAGAGAGGGAAGGGGAGACAGAAGGAAGAAAGGAAGAGAGGGAAGAAAGGAAGGCGGAAGGGAAGAAGGAAGGGAGAAAGACAGAGGAGAGCTAGGGAGGGAGATAGATGAAAGGAAGGGAAGGAGGGAGAGAGGGAGAAGGAAGGAAGGGAGTCAGGAAGATAGGAAGGGAGAGAGACAGAAGGGGCAGCTTTAGCACAGCAGGTTAATCACCAGTTGCAGCTGCGTTCAGTCTTGCTAACTGAAAGGTTGACAGTTCGAAGCTGGGTCAGGGTGAGCTCCTGACCTTCATCTCAGCTCCCCACCCACCTAGCAGATCGAAAACAGCAATGTGAGTAGATGAATAGGAACGGCATTAAAGCAGGGAGGTATTTTAGGCACGTCTTTTCAATCAAATAAAGGAGGAAAGTTTAGGAACAAAGAAAGCTCTTTGGCAAGGAGATGGAATGACAGCACCCCCTGTGGTCAGAATCGAACACAACCTCCAAAGTTGCTGAAAGATGGGGAAAGGCTATATATATGCCTCTATCCGTTGTCTGTCTCGTCATTGTATAATCGGCATTGAATGTTTGCCGTATATATGTTCTGTCATCCGCCCTGAGTCCCCTTCGGAGTGAGAAGGGTGGAATACAAGCAAAGTAGAGTCTCGCTTATCCAACATAAATGGGCCGGCAGAATGTTGGATAATAAGGACGGATTAAGGGAAAACATATTAAACTTCAAATTACATTATGATTTTATAAATGAAGCACTTAAACATCATGTTTTACAACAAATAAACAGAAAAAGCAATTCAATACACAGTAACGTTATGTAGTAGTGACTGTATTTACGAATTTAGCACCAAAACATCGCAATGTATTGAAACAGCTGTGGATCTGGATGGGAGGCAGACAGACTGTGTTGGACAATTCAGAACGTTGGATGAATGAAGGTTGGTTTTTTTGGTCGTGTCAGGAGCGACTTGAGAAACTGCAAGTCGCTTCTGGTGTGAGAGAATGGGCCGTCTGAAAGGACGTTGCCCAGGAGACGCCCGGATGTTTTGATGTTTTATCATCCTTGTGGGAGGCTTCTCTCATGTCCCCGCACAGGGAGCTGGAGCTGATAGAGGGAACTCATCCGCGCTCCCTGGATTCAAACCGCTGACCTGTCGGTCAGCAGACCTGCTGGTAGAAGTGTTACTATAACGAGGGTAATGAAATTTCATTACAGTTTCTTACAGTAATCTATATATATAAATTTCCTACTGGCGTCCAACGAGGAAACAAAACTCTAAAACCCCTCCACACAACTCTACCAAAATTGCCATGCCCCAAGGACAACCCACTAGGTACAAACTAATCCACTCAGAAATCAAAACCACACAACAACAACCACAAAAAACGGCAAAACAACTGAGCATGCGCACTGGCGCAAACTCCCTGGCGCGCGCACACACATGGCCCCTCACCCTCCCCCCCGGCGCGGCACACACACGCGCGCGCGCACGGCCCCTCCCCCCCCGGCGCGGCACACACACACACACGCGTGCCCCCTCTCCCACCCGGCGCGGCACACACGCGCGCGCACCCCCAACCCCCCCGGCGCGGCACACACGCGCGCGCACGCGCCCCCTCTCCCCCCTCCGGCCGCCGCCGCGGCACACACGCGCGCGCGCGCGCCCCCTCTCCCCCCTCCGGCGCGGCACACACACACATGCACACACACGCGCGCGCGCG